GGACCGAGGTCTCTTTCTCAACACCTTGCCCGGCGAATGGTCGCACCGAGTCTTAGATTCTGTGCCGAGTCTTAGATCAGTGCGGAGCCGGCGTTCGGGTCGGGGAAGCGGGGGAGGAGGCGGGAGGCGTGGGGAGCTGTGGCGTGGGGAGCAGCAGGAAAAGATATGAAAAGCAAAGTCACAAACACAGGTGTTGTCCTAAATTAAAGCGCCGTATGTGGGATCTTATGTTGTGAGGCCAGACTCTCACGTTGAAGGCAGATCGGGACAGCTTTCCAGATAAAGGGTCAAACATGGTCAAACCCCGGATTCAGTGAAATCTGCAAGCAGTTGAATACAATGGGACACTTTCAACACACATCAAAAGTGGCTAATTTTTCCTTCACCCCCCCAAACTCATCCAAACCCTATTTTTATCGTTTGGCCACGACCATGTGTCTTGTCCTTCACCACTCCCGTCTTCACCGTTTTCAGCGCCCAAACCGGTCAGGAAAGACGGTCAGGTCACCGAAACCTCGCTCGAGCGAAACACCGCTCAGCTCATTCCGCTTCCGCTGATTCCGCGGAAACGAGGTGCTCTACGAGGGCTCCGCGGTGCTGTTTCGCTGCGCGCTCAGCATCCTGTGGCTCCGCCGAGAAGAGCTGAGGACCACGGGACGGGAGGACGGGAGGATGGAGAAGGGGATGGGAAGGATGAGAATGACATGTTGGATGGACCAGCATCCCCAGTCGGGGTGGTTAATGGATATCCCTTAATTAACAGCTAAGGGGCCATAGATAGACACCCCAAACGGAGGGTCCTGGGAGGTGTATAGTACTGCAGGAGCTACTGTCGGACTGTTGGTTCGGCTTCTGTTTGTCAATGTTGCGTGAAGTTGTGAACATGTGGAACATGTGAAGGATTGTGAAGGCATTTCAGGCTGTCTTGTGATTGCTCAGGGTTCTGAGGACTTCCAGAGATCACTGAATCACTGCATGCCTCGCTCCCTGGACCAGATCCAGTCCAGTGGCCTTTTTTGCGTGGCCGAGCCTCGATGTTCTACGATCGAACACCAACAGAAAAAACATGCATGGAACTACATCCGCTCAATACGAGAGAAACTGTTCAACAAAAACAGCACTATTTATTACTATCATTGTTTTTTTTTTTTTTTTTAAATTGTTATTACTATATACTATTATTTACAATTTCAAGGATATAGTTTGTTGTTGCTTCACTCTCTCACTCTCTGACCTTAACATTTCGCTTCAAACACGACCAGCGCGCGTCGACGGTGTCGGCAGGTCTTGCGTCGACGGCGTCCCGTCCGGTCCCAGGACTTGCCTCTCCCTGCCCGACGCCTTCGCATATCTCCGATCTCCCATGGGCGAGAGCCCGTTGGATGCGAACGAACTGTGGGAGCGCCCGTTGAGTCAACCGGGAGGTGTTCGGGTCGGGCGGGTTGAGGCGGGTTGAGTCGGTGGCAGTGGTTTTCGGGCTGGGCCGGGTTTCTTTTGGGTGCGGTGTGGGAAGAGGGTTTGGAAGATGGTTTTTGGAGCTGCTGATGTTGGGAAGCTGGATATAGGGTGATGTTACGTTGCACCCCAGCTGAACTTACTCAGCTCGAAAGCTCTAGCTGTCTTGCAGGATTCCCCCCCCTTGGCACTGGGGTTTTCATTCGCCGGCTTGCAATGGCTAGGTTGGGGTGTGAAACAAACAAAGTGGTTAAAGTGGTTGGATTGGCCAATGTTTTCTCGTTGATAGTATGGCAGTATTTTGAGTGTTGGAAGACTTGTGTATCTTGTATCTTGTGTATAAGTACTTTGTCGCAACCACCCATTGTACACCTCGGTACCGACCATTGGCTCGTACAAGAACCGTCCGGAACAACGGGGTCGGGCTTCGTTTAAGTAAATCATTTTTGGAGAACAGACCGGTCCCTAGCAATACCCTGACACTCCATCAATGATGTATAGACAATATCGATCTAATCATTGGGGTGGTTTCAGGCGTCATTGGAGATAAATATTCCAGTCCCATGGAGTCTCTAGGGCGGTACCTTCAAAACTATCAACATCTTCCCACCCACCCCCTCCGCTTCTCCGGTCACATGACCCCTCCGCACAAACGGAGCCCATGTCCACGCTCCCCAAAACACACAACACACACACTTCGTGATGGCCCACGGAACCCAAAAAGCCGTCAGCCCAGCTGGCTCCGCGTGAGGAGTTGATGTTTGCCTCGTGGCTGAACAACCTCTCGGGGCGCCTGAGAAGTCTCCGCGAGGAGCAGCTCCGCTTGATCCTGCAGGTGCCTGGGATCGGCAGCGCTTGGTGGACGTGAAGACGGTCGAAGCTGGGGAAGGGCTGGTTTCGGTTTTCACGGGATGGCCTGCTTCGGCGGAGGTGGCGACGGTTCCGAGCTGCAGATCTAAGTGGAAGTAGCAGATTTGCTTGCAAAGATGATACTGCAGGTACAACTAAGGAGGTTTCGCTTTGCATGTGGTAATTTCATAACTATTTGGTGGTTGGAAATAGCCTGAACTGTAAAACTGCTCTCACTTTTTTGCCGATTTGTTGGGGAACTCCGTGAAACATTCTTGTCTGATTTCCAGGACCTCAGAAGCATTCAGAAGCTATAAGACTTTGTTCCAAAGATGATCTTTTCAGGTGTCACAAAAGTGTGCTCAATGGAGTGCTCGTTCCCAGTCTAATCACTTCTGGCGTCTTGCAAGCTCTTGCAAGCTACATGAGCTTCCACAGGGGTGAGCAAAGCTTCATTCACCCCTTGTTGAAGCTCCAATTTTCAACATCTTACATGTTCTCCAGACTGCCAAGACAGCCAATCCGCCAAGACAGAAGTAGTCCTTGGAGCCTTCGGAGGTCCTGGCTAGAGCTGACTGGTGCTTAATAGAGCATGGGGGAATGAATCCTAAAATATTGACATTCCCCCATTTGGAGTCATTCTGCTATTCTCATTTTGGATTCTATATACATATGTTGGGTTTGTGCGATTGTTTCGCTCAACCCCCCCTCCCGTTGTTTCGCCCGGATTCGCCGCCATCGGCCATCAGCCGCAGGGGGAGGAGGGCGAAGTTCGCCGGAAGATCCTGCCCTCGTCCCTCGATGAAGTGATCTCAGCGAGGTGGTGGGGCAGGTACTGCGCGCCGTGGGCCCCTGAATCAGGGTGTTCGGATGCGCAACAAGGTGCCAGCGGATCCAGATTTGCAGTACGGGTATTATACTATAGTGGTATTTGATGCTTTTGAGGTCATGAGATCATTGACTTCTTTGTATCTCTTCAGCCAACGTGAAATGAGAGTGAGACAACCGTTCTCCGATTTGCAGGGCTCCGGATCGTCGAACAGAAGGGACTATCGAGTGTAGTTTTGGATGTCTGGGTGGCCGTGACATCACTGGCATGCTGCAGCAATTGCCGCCCCTTCAGTCCTTTGTAAGGAATTACATCATTTGCCAGGATCCTGTTTGGGTGCAGGCCATGTTCAGTTGCCGCAGGCCCTGCCGCAGGCTGGTAAAGAGGAACCTGAATGGCCTTAGCCTTTGGAGCTCGCATGGTACTGATGAGATGGACTCTGCAAGCTTAGCTGGAACTGAACTAAGTAACATTGATGTTATTTGAATGCGGGAAAGGAACAAAACTAACACTTGTAAAGATCATTATATTTGAGGTTGCTTGGCTTCCCCCATGATTGTGAAGATCTTGACTCTGTTTGGGATATGACACTCCAAGTTGTACCTAACTTCATGAGTATCTTCTGAGATCAGGTGCCCATTCTTGGTCGACCATGGCCCATGAAGCATCCACAGTTGGGTTCTGTCCCTGTTGGATAATCTGTGTCACAGACTTGCTGGCTCTTCCTGTTTTCACCGAGCTCCAACGAGCTCCAAAGTCTTGCGCGTCCAATCGTTCAGCCAAGGTTTAGCTGGCCCGATCTGGAATGGCCGAGCATGTGACTTGGATGGCGAAGGGCAAGGATTAATCGAGGCATGTATGACTAGGATGGCTCTCCATCAGATGGAGGAGGGCTGTATTCTGCCTGGTGCTAGGGCTGCTAGGGATCTTCATTCACACGCTTTCAAATCAGCCAAACCAAGGTCGCAGCCCAAAAGGAAGGAAGTTGGACCCTGACATTTCATCTTCATGCTTAGCCCCTCACAAAACCAGCATGTAGTGTGTAGACCAGCATGTTCATTGCATGGACCACATGACCACACCGTGGGTCGACCGCAGACCTTTGACCGGCTCGCCGTCACCGGTCGCCGGTCGAACGAAGGCCCTCGATGAGTTTCTCCTGGCTCAGCCTCAGCCCGAAGTCGGAGACCTCCGTCGCGTTGGGAAGGGGGCGCCGGCGGGAAGGGCAGGGGCCGAGGTGGTTCGGTGTGCGGTGTGGTGCGTGGAGAGCGTGGAGAGCGTGGACTGCGTAGGGTTTCAGAAGGGCAGGATGGAGAAATGGAGTCAATCTGGTGGAAAGATATGGGGGGTTGCCTTTGCTTTTGGGTGGATGAAGACTTGTGAGTTTGTTGAGCATCCACCACCTTGTAGAACATCAGGATAACTGTAGTGCCCCTTCCTTGGATCCTACTGTTGAAGGAAGAAAGGTACTGTAACCGCTGCACTGGGATCACTGCTTTAGCATCATATACTGACAGCCTCCATCGCAAGGTGGTGAGTGGTGGTTCCAAGTGGCTGTGTCGTAGTGAATCCTCGGGGTCAGTTGCACAGTTGCACAGCTTTGCTGCTGCAAGAGTACTTGTTCTGTCACGTCAAGCCACACAGGAATGCTGTTTCAACCCCGCTGAATCTGCGAAAGCGTAGGCTCAAGGTTCAAAGAACCTGCTTCTTTCAGTGGAAAATGCATCAGCACTCAAGGTTTGAACACTAACAAAGACACCTCCTTGGCGCAGTATGCTCATATTATCTCATGATGATCCCAGTAAATTCCAAGCACCAACAACAAAAAGCCCATGACATTCCTGCGCTACTCCAGCACATGTCAGCACATGTCAGCCATCCTCCACTCCCCCACGCCCACCGAAACCGCTTGGGGAGCACTCCGCGATGGAGAGCCGCTTTGCGGCGGTGAACTCGGACGGTGGCACCGCTGCACATGAAACCTCAGGTGACTTGGAGTGACGGAGCCACAGACGGGTTCCTCGGACCGGGTGGACACAGACGTGGTCGCTCGATCCGGGACAGGTGGGACAGGTGGACCCCTAGATGGTCCGGGGGGGGGGTCCTCCAGGTGGAACCAATGGCCCCAAAGTCCAGGGCTCGGCTTTGGGTGGTATTTATTCCCCACCTGTCAGGTGAGGGTTGAAATGTCATGGTGGGGATCACTCGACTTGAAGTAAAGTAATCTTGTTTTCCTGAAATCTTCCAGGGGCTCCACATTGGGATCCTTGGCGTCATCATGACACCAACCTGGCGACGAGACCGGCCGGTTTGTGCCCGAAGATCCAACAGACTCAATAGACCCAGACAGTTCTGGGACTGGAAGAGAGGGCCAAACAGGAATAAGCCTTCCGGCCGGAATACGGCTGACCTTTTTGGGCCTATGACTCTATGACATTGACCCCTGAAACAACCACCCCAATGTGCGGAATATGTTCCGTTGTTCCGTACATGGAGTGTCTAGGATAGAAACTGGATGTGTCACTGGGACGTGATGTTGTCAACGACGAACCAAGCAGGGGTGATCTGCAGAGAGCTGCCAGCTGTTGGCGAGGCTTAAACTCCCAAGTGAGTCAGAAACTTGCCAACTGAGAATTTGTTTAGGTGAAGTCTTTCCCTGACACTCCATAACATGCAATATATGTTTTCAAGCCTTACGTAAGAAAATGGAGGCTTTCCAACTATGGAGGCAAATCCTGAAAATACCCACAACTTCGATTGACCGACGGTGGACGAACGACAGGGTGTTCGAACTTGCTGAGACCGAACAGCATATCCGCATGATCCTAATATAGAAGAGTAAGACCCAATGCGATTGATTTGGATGAGAAGCGAGTTCGTTTGGCTGGACATATTATATTGGGGCCCCCAATCACGATCCCCTTAGACAGGTATCCTATCAACAAAACAGCGCCGAGCGCAAACATATTTGGGAAACGTAGAGTTGGAAGACCCCGTCAGCATTGGCTGTTTAAGTCTAGCGAAGACATTCATGCTCTGCATAGTCATACTCAATATGATGGCGATCATTTTCAGAATGACGCAATTTTGAGGGCGGCGCAAAATCGAGCAATCCAAAAGCTAAGCGCCCAAGCATCCTTCTCGATGCTGAGACTCAGAATTGGATGCATTGCCAGGCAAAACAAAAATAATATGTATTATGTGATCAGATGTGATCTATTTATACACACATTGGGATGGTTTCAGGTGTCAATGCAGGCAAATACTCCAGTCTCATCGGTTGTGTTTGGGTTTGTAGCAACCAAGCTCAGGATACTCCAACTGAGGCCCTTCCATCTATGGCCCCGCTGCCTCCTCCCACAGCCAGCACCTCCGACCGAAATCGAGGGAACGGTTTATGCTTTGTGTCAGCGGTTTAGGCCAGGCCAGTGCCTGGCAGAGTGTGATGAGCGGCTTCAAGAAAAAACGGACTCCTTTTTGGGTGTGCTCGTGTGATGACGTGTGATGATAGTTTGTGAAGGCACGGTTCTTCTTTTGTTGACCCCTGGTGGCCCAACTTCACTGCCTCCACATGAGTCATGGTGGCACCGAGCTTTGGTGGTTCGCCGGTTCGCTGCACCCGCGTACTCCAGCCAGAGATGGTTTCGTGGGGCTGGTGCCGGACATCCAGTTCCGGTGCCAGAGCGCTTCTAAAAGTATTAAAAGCCGCTTCAAGAGGCGCGAGACTCAACATGGATTCCGAGGGTCCTAGGCGACGTAAGAAGGACTGAATTTCACGGACAGATCGCTCGGGGGAAGTAGTCTCGGGGTGAATCAGTGCTGCGGAAATTTCAACTACTCAGAAAAGCATAAGTCTACCAATCCTGACTCAAGAAGGATAGAGTTTGGTGCAAAAGCACCAGTGAAAGGTCTTCATTGAAGATGTTCTTTGTAATCATCCTCGAGAGGGCTACCCCTCAAAGGGAATTGCCTGGGGTTCATGAAGTGCTCAATCTGTATCTCAATGTATCTCAAAAAGTCTCTCCAAAATTTTGGAAAAGAGTATGAAAGACGGAGCCGCCATTTCATCAGCGCGGCATTCTTGTTGCCCCTGGCCACACCCCACACCACAGGCTCTGAGCCTTCCAAAGCACTCAAAAAGAAGGCTCCCAAAGACTCCTTGAGCTCCTTGAGGCTGGACATCGTCTTCAGCGGCATTAGCTTTAGCCACTTGGAGACTTCTCGCCCTGGCGCCTTCGGTGGTTTGCGGAAGGAAGGAACCACTGGGTGGACTGCAGAACCACTGGGTGGTGGCTATAGCAGTTGAGTTGAAGTATAGAATGTTCTGAGAAAGGCACCCAAGTTTCATGAAGACTACTCGTTGAAGAACGAGCTGTTGGTTTGACAACAGCAAGAAACGTTCTTTCCAACTAGTAAACTAGGCCCACAGTCACAACTCATCCGAATCTGGGTGGGGCTTTGCCAACTCCCAACGATTCCTCCAATACCTTTGACGTCCGCACCGGCTCGTCGTTTTTTGTTTTGTGCCGCTCCGGCTCGTCTCACCCGATAGAGCACTGTGCACCCTGGTGGGTTGATCGCCCTAACCTGTAGTCTATTCATGTCTATTCTGTTCTGTTCGTAGACTCGGTGGGAAAAAAGGTGGGGTCTCTCGTGCCAGGTGCCATGACCGCCAGACATGAACGATTCGATTCATCGGTGGCGGGTTCGACCCAGACGCGTGCGCCGCGTGGACTACGTACCGCGTGGACTATGACGTCCCCAGGTAGCCTGGCGAAAACGACGAGAAAGCCGCCAGATCCCAAAGACTTGGGGCCCGGTGGCATTTACCACGAGAAGCAGGCCTGAATGGTGCGGTTGACGATGGGGACGATGGGTGTGGGTTCTCTTTTGAAAGCTGGGCGGATTCGATTGGTGGAGAACTGTAAGAGAATTCAATAGGTCTGCAGCGCATTCGATAGGTCTCCAGCTTTGAGTGGTTGGGCACCTATAACAACGTCTCACACCACCATATCAGATTAGAAGCCGCAGTCATCTCGAACAGTTCACTTAATCCGGGTGTTTGTCCCCCACAGTGCGACACGTGCGACACGTTGGTCCACCATTTGGCTGTCACGGTGCCCAGCCCGTGCTCTCAACTGACAGCCCGTGCCTTCCCGTCGAATCCGACCGTTGGCTCCGAAGGCCAAACGGTGGGGTCTCTGGCGCGGCAGGTGGCGATGCTCTGCGCGGTACACACCATCAACAATGTCCTCCAAGAAAACCGGATCGCCGAGGAGACCGAAAACAGCCCTTTTTTTTTGCCATGTGGCGAAGAGGGTGTGATTTTTTGTTGGATTCCTGTGGATGAGACTACACAAGAACGAACATTTTGGACATCATACTTCTAGGTCCATCCATGTCTGAGACGTCTGAGTCTAAGTGTCTTTCCCAAAGGTCCATCCATGGTGGCACATGACATGTATGGACTAGTCGACTATTATGTAAATAACTATATATAATTATATATACTTACGTTTTGGGTGCTTCTATAAGGGATGTTGCAGGGAATGAAAAACCTACCAGGACCATCCAATGGGTCGCCAAGATGGACAAAGGGATTCGTCGCTCCGACTTCCCTGGGAAGTTCCAGCCAGGGTCTTTTGCGACTCAACTTCTCCGCCAGGAGCATCTCCGGAAGACGGCCAAGCAGTTGGACAAGGCGCAACTGCGGCTCACGGGCGGCCGTGCGGGCGACTACATGAATTGCCGCGAGGCGGGAGCGAAGAGCGAGCGCAATGAGAGCTGGGGAGCTACATCGAAAAATCGGCGACACCCAGTATGTTGGTTGATTGTTAGTTGGTTGATTTTTCTGGTTTCCAGATTTTTCTGGTTTCCAGGGTGTCTTTGATATGTGAGCGATTGCGATTTCGTGACGTTAAACAATATGTGGTGCTTTTGATGGGTGAGACGGGGTGAGACAGTGTGAAGAAGGCCTCGAGGTCCACTCTTTTTCTGCGCCCTGTTAATTTTCTTTTTGATCAGCATCGTGACAGCACTCTGACAGCTTGGATGTGCTTTGGTATCATATACTGTAATACTTCCATCAACGGAGGGATGGAGGGATGAGGGTAAACCACCATCATCTTGCTTGCTTATACTTATGCTATAGATATAGGTTCTCAATATTCAAGAAAAAAATAATGCTTGGTGCAGATCTGCATACTTGCTTGATTCTCATCTTGACTCGATCGATTTGATTCGTCTCTTCTATATGCAGTTTTTTTGTTTAAATCCACTTGAGCAGCGTTCTAAATTAACCCTTTCTTTTTTAGTCAGGGACCGGCGAAAAATCAGTGAACATAGTGATTTTAGCTGATGTTTGTAAGGTGTCCGTAAGGTTTGCCGTAAGGATGTGAAGACTTGAACGATGCTGTAAGGCTACCGGAAGCGAAACTTGTCTATTTTGATTCTGTATCCTTTCTTGTTTTGCAACAACATATCATATGTGACCATAGTGGACTTGCATACCTTCGCCGTAAGCACAACGTAAGAATAGCCATGCATATACATGTGTCACCGTAAGCAAAGCATAGAAAAACGTAAGCTTCGCGTAAGGCCTACCGTAAGGCCGTAAGGTTTGACTTCTCGGCAAGAAAAGACAACGCAAATTTGAACACCGCTCACTTCGTCCATCAGGACGGCTTCTACAATGCCCTCGTCGTGCAGGCCGTGTTCTCCGGACTGGGCTACGAGGCGGGGCGGTTGCGCCGTGCGCCGCGCGCACGGGCGACCGGGCCGTGTGGGGAGGTGACGAGAGTCCGAGAACTTATGAGTTCCGCAAGTGGCAAGTTGTACTACCTGAGTGAATGCATAGTCTTGCATTCATCAAAACTGGGTGAGCTTCATTTGTACGTTGCAAGGCTTCGCACATGCTTCGCACTGCATGCTTCATGCTTCGTGCTTCGTGCTCTCACGCCTCGACAGGCCCTTTCTTCATTTTTTCCCCGTTCCCAACTTAAACATGAATCTGAATATAATTAGCCTCACAGTATGACATCGGCAAACCTCTTCCTGCTGTAGAAAAATCGAGTCTCAGGGATAACTACATGACCTTCGTTCTCGCGACACGGAGAAGGTCCCGACACGGGAAGGTCCCGACACGGTTTCTGAACCCTTCTCCGACCTCCTGCGACACGGTAAAACCACTGCTCAGGTGGGTGCCATCCGGAGCACTACGGTGAACGTCGACGACGAAATGGCCTTCATCGCCAACAAAGCACGGCACTGGTTCGCCTGCCGCAGGTCGCCGCTTGGGAACTGGGGTGCCAATGGAGAAGATGGATCAGAGTCACTGCAAACGACCAGGGAAGATGGTTTTGTTCTGTGAAACGCGCAGCCGCTTTCACCAGAAGCCGTACTGTATTTGATCTCTTGTGTTGATGAAATGCGCAGACGTCTTTTTGTTGTGCCGATTGTGATGGCGACTGCAAGCAGTTTTGTAGAAGTCCTTGGACATCCTTGGACTGAGATCCAGTCTCGAATCTGTAAGGGTTTTCCAAGGGAACGGCAAGGAGGGTGCCAGAACTGTTTGTTGCACGTGAGTTGTCCAGGAATCCGAAGAAGCTGTGAAGCAATCCAATCCGCTACCTATGGACACACACTAAATATATACCCTGGGGCTCCAACCATATCCTCAGAAAATGGTTAGACCCCCCCAAACCAACTCCAACCATCTTCTCAGGAGGTAGGCCAGGAGCCCTAGGGATATATGGCAGAAGCTTACAATCTCACACAAATATACACAATTCCTGACACTGGGTTTTGTCAGACTCCAATAGCTGGATGCGTCGACACACCCGACGTCCAGACTTGTTTGTCGCGCCGCTTCGCGCCGCTTCGCGCCGCTTCGCGCCAGGCTGGGCGATGGGTGGTTCGACCTCAACAGCTGCTGGACCGAACATCCGCGGGTTCCGTGCGGGCGGATCTGCTTTTGCTTTCCAGGGTGTTCAGAACAGGTGCTTCAGGAAGAATGCTTTCCACTGTTTTGTTGCGGATCAGTGTGCTTAAATTTGGTTGTGCTTGTACTTGGCAGCTTGGCAAAGTATCCTGTGGCATTATGCAGGGGTTAGACTTCATTGCGTCGTTTCTTTGAGCACTTGACGTGGATTCATGGCTGGGGCACGGCAGGGGGTTGTGCGGGCGAGTGAGAGAAGCTTTCGCGGTGGGAGAATTGGGGAAGCCCAAGGGGGATTGTCAGAACGTTTGCCCCTGAACTGCGTTTGAAGAGAAGATAGAGAAGTTAAAGACTTGTTAAATACTTGAACCCGGTCAGTCAGGTGTAATTACGCACTAAGACGTTGCGTTCATGAAACTGAAGAGAGGCCCTTGCCTTTGAACCCTTAGAAACGTTTCGATATATCTTTCCCCACCTTTGCCAACTGCAACGTCAGTCTAATGAAAGAAAACACCGATTCAGCTTTTTGCCTCCACTTGTGGGGAAGAGCTGTTCTTCGCTGGAGCAAAAACCATACTTCAGAGCCTCGGTTGTTTTCCTCCTCTTACCTCGCCGAGGTTGCCTTAGCAAGCCCGAGTACTACGATCGACACGACATGGAGGCGCCGCCTTTGGGCACTCGTTAGTAGACTCCGTCCGTCCAGGGTTTCGTAGTGTTGGGTCGGATCAAGATGAGGCTTTTGGCTGCAAACAACGTGGAGGATCCGGAAGGTTTGGAGGCTGGGACGGAGTGATGACTCCAATCGAAATCCATTCCCAATCACACTCAATGTGTGATAGCTTTTTCTATATATAGAGCCTGAGTGACTTTGTTTTGATGGGGAAAGACATGAACATACCATATGTTGGTTGATCCTCCAAAATAGAGGTCGCTCCAGGTACAAACAGTATACACATAATTTGGGCTGGTTGACTTGGGATCAATGTGGACAAAGGTTCCAAACCCCACGTATGACGCACGACGTGCAGCACTCGACCGCTAGACCGCTGCAGGAGCACCTCATCCGAGCGGAAGAGCAAGGCTATCGGCTCTTTGCGATTCGTGGAGACTGGCCCCTCACGCCCTTGGAGCAGGCACGCGCCGGTCCAGAGAGCGAGCGCATCGGAGCGCGTGCGAGTCCCGCGAGTCCCGCGAGTGGTGGTCCTGGACCTCAACTTGCAGCTCCTTGTGCTCGGAAGGGCCGGTGGCGACAGAATTGCTCTACTCTTTTTTCAGTTAGAGCAGAGCAGCTTGTTGCTTATAAGATCTTCTATGTTTTTTCAGTCTTAGACGGGGCGCAACCAAAGAACAAGAGCACGGATCCGCCTCCCTTCAGGTCCGTCTGTTCAATCCAAAACCCCCAACCATGCACCGGAAGTCGGTCGCTGGGTCGTTGTCCGGCTTCACGACCGGTCCGGTGGCCAGGACCCTGCGGCTCTGAGCACCGCGGTGCGAGGATGTTTGAGACCCTTGGGCCCTCTGGACAGCGACGGCGACGCGGGTCGCCGGGGGGCGCGCGGGTAGGGGCGGAGCGAGCGACCGACCCGGTGGGCGTGGTGCGAGGTTACCGGGATGGGAGCTTCGACTCTGGACCGACCAGAAGGGAGGGGAGGGTGAATGGAGTGGAAGGGAAGGAAGTTGAGGCTTGGGACGTGGCGGCGCATGGGCGGGATGCTGGGGACTTGGCGCCAAGGGGGTTTTGGAGCAGTTGGATGACTAAAGTATTTCTGGATGGCCTAGCTGCCTTGTCCTTTGCTACCCTGCTTTCCAGTGGTCTGAACACCAGGATCCAAACACTAGTTCTCCTAATTCCCTGCAGCTATGTACTGCGCCTCACACACCCCAACAAGAAAACATCAAACACCTTATCCCCTGTCTGAATCACTCCACCTCCCAGATCTTCCGTCGCCCGTTGTTGTCGTCGCTCCCTTCCTCGCAAGCCCCATCAAGCCCTGAAGGCTGCACAGGGCCTGCCAGATGTGATTGAAAGGTCACGAACACAAGTCACGGCATCAAAGCCTCGAGCCTTTGTTAGTTGCCTTAAAGCGACCGTCAGCTAAGTTTGGACGGTCACTAACTTAAAACTTTAAGCTAAGCTTGTTGCCTTAAAGTCTCAAAAGCTTCGCTGCAGGGTTTGCTGCTAGCTCGAACAACATATCTCATGGTACTGCGAAGCCAAATTGTTTATTTCCAGTCCTACCCCAATCCTGAATCAATTGCCCAAAGAGGTCTAAGCCTTCAGTTTGTTGATCAACATCTTTTCACCACGTCTCCAGTCTTCAGTTCCACATTCAGCCACATTCGTCACTGCCTAGGCTACCGCGCCAGTGGTCAAATCCCTTGCACCCCGGGCTTGTTGGTCATGGTGGACGGCAAATCCAAAGGCCGCGGACCGGCGGAGGGGCGGCTGAGGTGGCGGCCGACACAGATCTCATTTGTTGCACCGAAAGCATGGTTTCAACTTTTCAACAAGAAGGGGCTAGCGGCTAGCATGTTCCGTTGTGTGACAATGATTTGAACATATTTGAACACAAACACAAATCCAAGTAGATGGTCAAAAATACTGAGCATCTTAGGAAGTTCGTAGGAGGTTTATGGAAGTTCACTCCAGTTTTGACTGCAAGTCTGCTGTACTGTATGTGTCATCCATCGTGCTTTGGCACTACATCTGTATATATGAGTATAACTCTGCTTGCGGTACTACCAGTGCTTTAACTCACTTTGTTAGGTTTATGGGGTATCGGTATCATTACTACGAATTATATATATGCTTCCTGACTGGCACTTCTATCCCCCTTCTCCAAGCACCCCGCCCTTCAGCTGCCGAAGCTGCCACCGCCTCTTTGTTCGCTCGCGCGCCGAAGAGTCGAGTCGAGGCCAAAAGGAGTACCGCGTGCCGCGGTGGTTGGGCTTTGGCGCTCATTGGTTCTCAGCGGCCCGCTTCCAGCATCACCCGGTGGGCACCTCCAATGACTGGCAGGCGCCACGTCGCACGTCGCACGTCGAACCCGGTTAGGCGTCGGTTACGCACCGGTCACCGGTCACCCGACCAGTGGGACGACGTGGTCGACTGGTGGGAAACAGCGCGGAAGTCGAACGTGCCGGAAGGGGTGAAACCTGGTTGACTTGTGTGGCAGACGTGGTCGACTTGGGCAACAGGAAGTAGTGTGACAAGTAGTCTTTGTTTGGTCATCCTGATTGAACATGTCTTCCGAATTGAGTCAAATAATGTCGACTCAGTCTACAGTCTACACCTGGGTGAGGTTTGGAAGTACAGAGTACAGAGCGTCTATATCAATATTGTTCATGTCTGCCATGTCTGCTGCTGCCGGAGCAGATGGGGGTCCGCATGCACTTTTTCGATGGTCCCAAAGCACATGGGAAGGAGGGTGCGTCTCCATCCCAGACAGATGGGACTGGAGGATTTGCCTACCCCAATCACCCCAATGTATATCACACAAACGCCTGCACCCGAATCTCTGGAGTTGTCCAGTGTGGCACCAGCTTTGGGAGTTTTTACAGGGTTGATGATAGGATGCATGTCCAAGGAGCAGCCAAGTTGGAGCTTTTCTATAAACGGCATACCGGCATACCTCAATTGACTCAATTGATGAGACATGTGATTAGAATTAGAAACAACCCAGAGCGGATGCAACCAGAGGACAATGTCCTGTCCTTCTTGACTGTTCAATACAACAAATGCAAAGCACTCGTCTAGTCCCTCTGTTGAACCCAAGCTGGCAACCTGTACATCAACAGGAAGCGGAGCTAGCCAACAGAAAGCTGCTTGGCTATTATTGTGCGACGGGAAGCTGGACTGGGCAGTAGGTTTTTCTGTTGGACAATCTCCGAATGTTGCTATTTACTCAGGAAGAAGGTGGTCACCAAGAAGAAGTCTGACCAGGGAGCGACCCTTGAAGAAGCAGATGATCTTGAGGATCTTGAAAGCTCCAAGAAGGAGAGGGGGAAACACGTCGAACGCGCGGAAGCACCTCGTCGAACCTCGGTCACGCGCACGGCTTCCACACGGCTTCCATCGGCTGAGCCAGTTTTGTGGAGGTTGAGCCAGTTTTGAGTGAGGCATAGTCATTGCAGTGTAGTATTTGATTTGTATTATTCATTCCCAATTCGGCCCGCAACCCACTGATCCTGTTTTGTTGGGGGGGTCTTCCTACTCAATATCTCTTGCCCATGTCTACCCTCCAAGACTGGCCCTGGCCCTCAAGAAGGAAGTACTAGTTGGAGTTTATCCATTAGAGCTTCTTTGGTCTTTGAAAGCCTGTGTGTTGGATGGAAGAGCACGCGTTTGTTACGGAATGAACATGACTGAAACCGTTTCTTCGGTGGGCAGGAGGTTGCGAAAAAGAATCATACTGACTCATACTGGTGGACACCAGCCAGAGAGAGAGAGAGAGGGAGAGAGAAAACTACCAATGGGTCAGGGCAATGAGCGGGTTGATCTATCTGCTTTATGAGCGAGTTGGTCTATCCCCTTTGGTTTGCTCATGAATTCATCAAAGATCAACTTGTTAGCCTTCCAAGTTCTCGTCATTCATCCACTCTGGTCCCTAAAATAGGGTCGACCCTGGTCCTCATCATACGAAAAAGAGTAGGGTCTGTCTGGTGGCCGTGACAGGAGACAGGCAGTATCATGGAGATTCTGGAAGACCACGTCGAAGAGACCTGGGCCGCGGAAGTGGAGGAGCGTCTGGAGCGTGGAGCGTAGCTTAGCGTAGCGTCCTTCCACGTTCCGTGGCGTCCATCGCCGCGGAACGTGGAATGAGCATGGTGGGTGCTGTTTTTTTCATTGGGCCGTAGAGAATTTGGAAGCTCATATATAAGTTTAAGCTCATCATGTCCATGTTATGGTATGGTTGTAGCTGTTGGGCCATCCTGGTTTGGAAGAAAAAGATCTGGACAAGAGCTAGAAACGCGGGAGAGTCACGAAGTTTGAGGTGGTGCAGGAGATTCTCGTCATGAAAGGAGTTGAGATAGATGATGTGTTTCGTTTTGTTCGGAGAAAACCCTTCTCAGTTCACAGTAGATGAGCAGGTCTCCGACCATCGATCCCAGTCCAGCATGTGTGTCGCAGCGACAGGGGACGAAGTCCCGGGAGCCTTGTTTCTTCTTGGGTGAGTCGCCGGGAGCATGGGGAAGATTTGGAGCCTTGTATTTTTTCCTGGTAGGAGAGCAATGATTCCAAAGTCTAGTCAGGCGTCTTTTCTGTTTTAGCAAAAAACACTCAGAGAAAGGCACCCAAAACATCCAATCCCGATGACATCGGCTGCTAAAGCCTTTGCTTCATGCTTCGGAGGACACCGAGCTCGCCTTGGAGGATGTCCCTGTGACTTGGCGATGTGGAGCCACCAAGTCTGGAGTTGTCTCGGTGTGTATTCCAATTGTACACTCCATGCATGGTATAGGCATATATATATATATATATGACCGGAAACTGCTGGGGCTGCTGGGGTGGCGACAAGGTCTATCGGCCGATCTTCGTGTTGGTCCAGATGACCTTGACCATCCTGTTTTGGCTGATTGCCTCCCTTGTGGAGCCTTCGAAGCCGCTTTGCTGTCGGATTCAGCGGGCTAGCGGGGGCCTTCGGTTGGACGGATTGCGCCAGATTGAGCTGACCAGAGCTTTTTTTTTTACATCCCTACATGTACCATTCCTTTATTTTTGTTTAAATCACCGTTGAAACACAGATGGGAACGATAGGCATACCGGCATGCTACAAGAGCAGTCTAAAAAATCAAGCAACAAGAGAATGTTACTATGCTTAAGATGCTTTTGATCGGGGAGTTACCTTTGGATCCTATTTTCCATTTGTGGTTTTGCATAGTGGCTGAGTCACGAGTCACGACCTTCAAGCATACGAAGCGTTTCGGAACAGGGAAACGAAGACCACCGCATCTATTGTGAATAAACATGGCTGAAGAGAGGAAACACATCGATATTGCATATAGATGTCCTTTGGACAAATTGTACTGAAACGGATCTACTGAGTCTGCAGACTGTACAGCAGTAGACTTTGACTCACAGCATCCCAAAAATCACAGCAGCGTCCTTGGCGGAGTCGAGGTCTCTGAGGTCCCTGAGAGGTCCCTGAGAGGTGCCGACGTGACCGTGACCCCCCCAACAAAGCCACGAAGAATGCAGAGAGGAACGCCTAACTTGATTCTTAATTCAAACAAGAAAACCCGCAATAGATACTGCGTTGGGTCTTAATTGAGACAAGAAAACCTCTAATATAGATACTGCATGTGTGGATAGAATATCAGATAGAATCAATCCTGGATGAAGGCCACCGCTCCGATTTTCTGAACGATTCCGCTCCGATTGAAGAAAATTCTGGGCTCCTAAGGACCCTGTTTCTGGAATGGTCATGCAGGGTCAACCTGTAGCAAAAGCGAACATCACAGGAGACAACCATAAATACATATAGATCTACATAGTACGTAATCTGATTTGAGGATCACACGACACAAGTCAGCCAAGCAAGAAACAAGCCAGGATAAACTCATTCCGACTTCACACAGAGAGCTGCCAGGGACGGTTGGATCTTCACTGTTGCTGGCTTGGAAACCATCATCCCTGGCAAGACCCTGTGCCAGGCGCTGCGGTGAATCCGCGTCGCACCGTAAGCCCCGCTGAGTGAGTGCGAAGATTGTCCGGACACTCCATGAGACTGGCACATGAATCCATGCAGACAGGGGTGGTTGAAAAGGGGTTGTTTGGGCTCGCAAATCATCAGGTTCCTCTGCCCCAAACACCCCTGCGTCCTCATCCAGTCTGACCAGCTGTGCCCCTCTCATGTTTGGACGGCCGCATGGCGGGTCGGTCGCGTCGCCGGACACGCGTCTCCAAACAGTCTCCTTCGGTCAGGTCGAAGGTCGAGTTCGGCAACCGAGTGGTCCGACTGGAGGGATTTAGGGACATCCTCAGGATCATCACACGGACGACGCCCCAAGCCATTGTGGTTTGGTGATTTAAGCATGAAACAAAGCTCCCCAAGTCATTAACATGGAAGTGGAAAGCCACATTAGTAGAGAAGAATGGTCTTCCAGGGGCCATTTTCCACTTCGATGAATATTTCAGGGAGTGTAATTTAATGTATATTAAGATCACAAGTCCTGCTTGAACGCTTCTTGTGCTTTTGACAGTCTACTTTGTAACCTCACGTTGGGCGACTCCTTTGGACGGGAAAGTGAGGTCTGAAGAGACCTCTAGGAAAAAATCAAGAGGACAGCAAGTGAATTGGAGTTGATCGTACTTTCCCATGGAATTGTTATCAAGAGTCGACTTGACACTGTTTAATGACGCGTCGACTTGACACTTCTCCTGAAGGAATCCACATATCATCATATGTTCGAAGAACATTAACGTCAGATCATCCGCAGCACCTTGCTCAGACCACGACGGACTGCATGGATGAACGCTTTCAAGCCTGGCGTTGGCTCACCTACCAGTACACTCACCTCAACATGTCACACATTGCCATGCAGCCTGGCAGAAAAGTATTTGGTCACGGTCACGATGGCGTTGGGTTGTCCGTGATCCAGCATGAGGTGGTACACGGCAAGAGGACATTTGAAGCCTTGGTGAGAGTTCGTGTTCGATGTGTTTGAAGGGACGTTGACAGAATTCATGATGAAGGCACGCAGCAAAAAACATGAAATACTAGACATGGTCATTGAAGAAGTCAGCTGTCAGCTCCCTTTTCTACCGTAATTGTTTCCTTGTTTGGTGGAAAGGTTCGAAGCTTACTCCGACATGCGCCCCTTGTGGGAGGGGTCCAAAAAGAATATCCCTGCAAGTCACTCTCTCAGTTCAATCTTGTCCATGATATACCCAACAGAAGCCACTACCAGAAGCCACTACCAAAGAAAAAAAACAGCACCTGTGGGTCCAGTTGGTGTCCGTGATTTCACCATGGATCCATTACCCTGACCAGTTCCATAATCACCAACCACTATCTTCAAGTGGAAATCTTCGGAGTTGTTCACCAACAACCAGTGACCACTACGCCGTAGTTTATCTCGCTGAGGAACTCCTTTTTGCTGCTTCTAGCTGGCATTCCTTTGGAGCAATTCCAGGGGCATTGGCGGATCATTCTGCTCTACAACATGGGAGTCTTCACAGGCATGAGAGTCTTCTTTCGCTGGATGAAGTCTCCGATCTATAGACGTTTCAGTATCTATAGACGTGCCTGTGGGTTGCAGCATCCTTGGTTGACCCCCCCCAACAGGAAATAGACATCAAATTCTCACGAATTTGGTACCAAAAAAAATGCATGAACTCAGAGATTTGCCCGTGACTTGCCCCCTCCCCCGCCAGGCGGGATCTTGAACATGGTTTGGAATCCTCACAGCTCCTTAGCTGGCGCCTCTGCCGGGTGCTATGCGCTACTCTTCGCGCACTGCGCAGAGCTAGGTCGGCAGAGCCAAAGCACCGGAGGGGACCTGCTGTGCCGTGCTGTCTGACGGTCAAGGAATTTCCGCTGGTTGGTTTCAGAGATTTGTATGTTGATTCCAACCAGCGGAAACCATATCTGTTGGTGTCATGCCATTACTTATTATAGCATGAATTGAACCATATTGTCACCCACAGACCCACAGAAAAATAGCAAATAGTGTCGTTTTCGGCGTCCCGAAGGTCTCCGAAGCTCCGTCAGTGGGGAAGGTTCGTTCGGGGTGGAGAAACCGGGAAGGCATGAACTGGATGCAGAGCCGCTACCGGTGGGCCAAGCTGACCTTGATCGTACTTGCACCCTGGCTGAAGTGAGTGAAGTCTTGTCGAAACCTGCTGGTGTTTGAATTGTGACACATGGTATGGTTGTGCTGTACACCTTAGCAATCGCCAACCCATCGTGGAGAAGAGTTGAGGGACCTTGGGCATGTTCTGAAAAACCGTGGGCATGTTCTGAACCCTCCTAGTAGCGTCCTTGCTCCTAGTAGCGGTGCCGGGGTTCCTAGTAGCGATGCCAGGAGCTGCTAGTAGCGTCCGAACGCTCCGTTCGTAGCGATAGTGAACATACGCATCCCAAAAAGCCAACAAATTCAGGTTCCCAGAGCTTCCTCATGCTTCCTCCGCCGTTCTGCTGGCCGCACCGTGCCGCACGCTTCCTGCCGTTCTGTGACCCTGTTGTGTGGACAGAACTGGCAGCTCTGGGTGCCCTGGACCTCCCTGGGAAGTGATGTCCTGTCGGCCCCGACCTCCCTTCAACATCTTCAACTTCAACGTACTTGGCACACATCTTGGCCGACAACCAACATGTGATAGGCTCCATTGTCAGGAAGCCAGCGTGGGGAGAGAGTTAGAGCTTCAGCTGGAGTTTGATCCGATGATCAAACCCTAGCTTGCATCCAAGCTTCAGGTAGTGGCCTAACACCGCTAACCTGGGGTATCCCTAACCTGCATCCCTAACCTGCATCCTTCAGTGATTCAGGTGGTGGCCTTTGATATCGTCCAATCTTCTGTCATGTACGCCTACACCGCGTTGCTCGAAGAAGAACTGACAGGACCCCAGGTGTCGGAAATTGGACCCAGGAAGACAGAACTTGGGGGTTTGATTGTTGGGCTTGGTCAGTTTGACGGTATAGTCGTGTGTTTCTTTGAGTGCAGACAGCTAAACGTTGTTGCGAAAAAAAAATCACCAAAACATATGCTTGGTTAAACCTGTGGACAAAAGTGGGCATAGTCTTTCTTTGCCAACGATTGCAAGTGCACAACTTCCGATCCAACTACATTGGTGTCAGAAGACAGGAACCGACCTTCAAATCCAACCCACACCTTCTCAGAAGGTATCTTTGACTCAAAGAGCCTGTCTAAATGATATAAGTTTCTGTTTTGGGGTTGCGGCAATATATACATATATATAGGCCGTGGACAAACAAAAGCATGAGCAAAGGGCAGGCCCATTGCAGCGAAGCTGTTCCACCCTGGTGGAGAGACTTATCAGTTCTGTGTACCTGCGGATGGCTGCAGCGTTACTACCTTCTCTTCTAGCTTCACCAAGCTGTGAAACAGGCCTACCAGGTCCTACCAAACCGGAACGGCAGACAGAAGAAGGCAGATGCGAGGAAGACACATTTTTTTCGATCATTCAAAATGAATCGTTGGAGCAAAACAGCGACCATGATATCAGATCATTTGACACTTCGCCTTGTTGAAGAACCATTTCCAACTTTTTGGTGATAGCTCAGGAGCGAAGTGGCTGTGGTCAGCCACACCGCCCACATGGGGGGTGCCTGTGCCGGGCTGTTCTTCGGCCACTTGGAAGAAGTGCCACGCATGGTGAGTGGAGGGCGGGGGTGATCCTGTGGTGATGGTGATCCTGTAGTCCCCGGAGCTTCCGTTTTTTTGGGGATGTTTTTCCGCAGACAGTGTTGTCACACTAGGGGCTCGTATACGGCAAGGGTTAAGGCCGGGTGTTTCATCGAGGTGCTCGCTCGGGGTTGTGTGGCAAATTCGCTTGCTATTTACGGTACATTCATTCACCTCGAAGACTTCGATGTGCATTTCGACCGCGCAGGCTTGGGCGCGAGCCGGTGCTTTCCTCGACTGCGCTCTTGTTGTGGTGCCGTGCACACTTTCGGACTTGGTGATCTGTTGCTGGCAGGAGAGGCTGCAGTCTCCCAGTGTTGGCTCAAAGGAGAGAGGAGAAGTTGACATCGCGCCTGGACGGCTGGATGGCAAAGTTCTGCAGACTCTAGGGGAGTTGGACAACTCCCATTGTGATCATCGATCGGTTGACAACGTTGACAGAGCTGGTTGAAGTACAGACTTTGAGAAAAAGCAGGCTAGGGACACCTCGTGCTTGTGTCCGCCCTCACATATATATATATATATAGATAGATATATATATATATACATTATAGCTCTTATTTTTGTGCTCAGGTGCTCTCATCTCGTACATTGTGCTCTCATATGTGCTCTCTCCAGACCCTCAGGCCTCCAGATCTCTGGACATCTCTTTCCACCTCTTGACCTCGTTGAGAGCTCCTGCTATTTGTGGATCTCGACCTCTAGATGTCTTAATCTCAAGACTTCTCGGGATCTGAGCCTTCTACACTTCTAGACCTTTAGACTAGACCTCGCTCTTCGCCTCTAGATCTTTCTAGACCTCTGCGGTTAGAGCTCCAAGACATCTAGGCACCTAGATCTCGACCCCTAGATCTAGATAGACCTCAAGACCCCCCCCGGATCTCAAGACCTCGACCTCTAGATTTTAGACCTCTGGATCATTTCTAGACTCTAGACCTTTAGAGCTCTGGACATTCAGATTTTTCAAGACCTACCTGAGTTTTATTTTCTCTAGACCCAAAGTTCTGTTCTGGATCTGTGCTAGACGTAGAGACCTCTAGATCTCTAGCCCCCAGACCTCTCTACGCCTCTGGATCTCTGGGCCTCTACATCCCAAGACCTCTCGGACTCTTGACCTCTAGATCTCTCTGGAACCCAATACGTCTAGAGCTCTAGACCCTTTGCTTCTACACCTCTAGACCTTAAACCTCTAGACACACTGTTTGAGGTCTCTTGCCAGGATAATGTACAAATCTATCTTGGTTACAGACTACACATCACGTTGGCCGATGTTGATGTTCGTGCCGAAGAGTGTTGGTTGATTGATCAATGGCTTTGTGGATGTTGGTGCAGGGTTTAGCTGCGAGCCACCCGTGCCAGGTTGACAGAGTGGAGGCGATGTTATAACTTTGTTCAGGTCACGACATGAACCCGATCGGATGGTTTGACCGGTTTTTTCAGTCCCACACGATGGTCCGTAAACATGGTAGGTCAACTAGTCTTTGACCCTTTGGTCCTTTGGGTTTGCTGTCCTCTCTTTGGACAAGAGCTGCCAAGAGCTGCCCCATGTCTGATTCCATCAGCCCCCTGTCGAACGCCATGATAACCCATGACTCCCTCGTGATTGAATGGTTTCTTCCGGGGTCCACGAGGTATCCTCATCACCCGGAACCTCGTGGTGACCCGAGCCGAGCGAATCAGCGCCTTGGAACGAACTTGACTTTGGAATTGGGTTCAAAAGAGAAAAGACCTGAAAACAGCAACATGAATGTGAAAATTTGTAGATGGATTGATATTTGTATCTGCATGGACTTGTTCCAAACCAGGCCCGGCGAAAGCTTTCCTGGGGTCAAACAACTGTCATTTTCACGGCACTTCTTTGGACCAGTCAGCAGGTCACCGGCTCCCAAAGGAAGGGGAAAGAACTCAGGAGCAAACCGAAAGCCGGTGTCAGGTGTTGATTTCCCCCCCGGTGACTCTCTCTCTCTCTCTCTGCCGCCTTGATTTTCTGCTCAGGACAGGTGGTGGCGACGATCATTTATCTGGGCATTTTGGGAACTCATTTTGCTCTCTTGGCCGAGTGGCCACCAAAGGCGTTCTACAACTCCAGTGACCCGGGCTGGTGTTGGGCACGCCAGGCGGGGTGGCGACCGGCGCATTGCGGCAGGGTGACCATGTGATGGGGATGTTCTAAGAGCTTGAAATACTCTGCGGAGACCAGGTCCTTTCTTGGAGTGGAGAGTATACATGGGCAAACATTCTTGGAATCGCTCGTACATGGACGCCACATGTTTGCACTAGCCCCTGAGATGTTATGAAAATCATCGGGTTTAATGTTCCTTGGTAGGGATATGTTGGGCAGAATGCCTTCGAAGCATCAAGCAACAAGTTGTGCATACTGAAACACACCCCAAATCAACGCACATGCCTGCCTGCCGCTTTTTGATCTCTGGGACCCGACGAGTGAAGAAGACCCCGAAGCACGACCAGATCTTTAACCAGACCATCTTGGATGACCAGTTCCACTGCTTCCGCTGCCCGGACGAAGCCTGTGCTTCGGCAATGGACGGTGATGTATTCGATGGTCTTCGAGCGCGATCTGGGGACACAACAGTCAAGGGAAGTGGGTGGAGGCTCTTTGTTCAAAGCAGTGAGGAGTGCTATTTAGTAGTTCTTCCAAAATGATAAACAATAAGATCAGAGATCTCGAGTTCACCTTAACCTGAAGATGGTTATAGATGGTTTTTGCAATATAGCCATGCTCATTTGGTGTCACTCACTTTGGGACATCATGCACCTGGCGCCTTGTGCGATCGAGCGATCGAACGAACATCGGTCGCGATCGAGGCATCCGCAGCTGGGAAACCTCGCAGAGGTGGATCCAACCGGTCGATTGGAAGCTCTGTGAGTATCAGACGCTTGGATTCATCAGACACTTCGATCCAAGTACGACCTTCAGTAAGTGGATTCAGATGTAGACAGATAGACCATGATAGACCATAGATCCGGTCGATTTGGATCCGAGGCTACACATGATCCGCCACGGTGCGGTCTCTTCGGCGTACCGTCTCTTCGTCACACGGTCACGGTCTCTTCGTCCCTCACCCGGTGCTTTCGTCGTCGTCGATCCCATGACCGGTCGTCCGGTGCGGTCGGGTCATGGGTCGGTGTGAACGGTCGGTGCGTTCGAGTCGAAGCGAGGGATTGGTGGGCAAAGGGGGATGGCAACGAGTGTTGGTGTGGCACCTCGAAGTGGTTTTGCTTGACGACAACTGTAGATGGCTCGATTATATGCAATGCATAGGTGAAGAAGATTCGCAACGCGAAGCAAGGTGAAGGACCACAAGCGGTTTCGGATCAGTTTCGCTGCCATGGGGTCCACTTGGTGAAATCAGCTTTTGGGAGTCCTGATTGATGAAGCTTGATGAACATCCGAGCAATCCTAACCTGTACAATCACTGAAACAGTACCTTGAGGATCCTATACTTTCTTGGCTGGTGAGGATTCCTGTTCTGTTCAAATGGTCGACATGGCTCCCACCTGTGGCATCTACTCCGGAGCCTAGCCCAGCGTGAAATTTTACGCTTCTCCGAGGAAAGGCTGGAAAGTCCTGTGATAGCAGAGCCACGGTGTTGCGCATGAAGAGAGTCTTAGATTTCAGCTGCCAGTTGCAACGGTGCCAAGATTTGCCTCAGACATTCTCCGCACGGTTTCACTGCAAAATCTAGATTAACCACTACCCCCTCATGTGGGACTGGTGCCCCATGACCGTGCAACAGCGAAGAAGCACTGCAGCGCTATGACCGTTGTTTTCGCAGCTGGCAAAACTGCAAGTGCTTTTTCAGAGCTGCGGCTGGCATGGGAAGATCCATGGGGGCTGCAAGAAGTCAAAAGCCCATCCGGCATAGGATATGGCATGGTTCAAACATGTTCAATCATGTTCAACCCACAAAACCCCTTAGAGCCTCGATCAAGAAACACTTCCTCTTTGACATTCTTTGACCCTTAGATGGGGGATTCTGATTTTCGGGCTGGGAGAGTTTGGTCATCCATCCGGAGATTTAGAATTCAGATGAATTCCGAGTGTTTGGGATTTGGGCCACAACTGTCATTAGAAGATGAAATGCGAGGTATTCGGAGCTCATCACTCTGACAGCACATCGATGGATTTACAGGGGTGAATATGCTCGGAGATGCTCGGACTCTTAGCCTTGCAAAACTGGGACAGGTGGAAACAACCATCTCCATCTCTCAAGAACACCAGGGAGGCCGACATAGGCCGGGCGGTTTGTTCGCCGCCTGGTGTAGCCTGCCCCATTGGAAAACCGCTCAGCTCAGAGGCCGGATTTGCCGGATTCACTCATGCTCAGCAGCCACGTTGGTTTCACTGAGAACCCGAGGGGGGCCTGGCGATTTCGATCAAAGACCATGGATTGAGCATCGACAAGAGTCCACTAGCAACGAATATGTGCTTCTTGTACTCGTAGTGCTTCTTGTGGTTTTCACATCGACATGCATAGGAGCACATTCTGCATGATTTGTATGCTGACGCCTAACGCTTACGGCTAAAGGGCAGTTTTCAGGTCACGAAGCAATCCTTGCAGCAGTTGACGATACCCATAGAAGGTGCCAAGGGCCAAAGTAGGCCTAGCCGCCCCTAGTGTTCACAGAGTACATTCACCAGTGAAAAAACCCAGTGTTCCCCATGCTTTGTCAGACATTGTAAGTGAGCAGGATGGCCTTTGCTTTTGCTGTAAGGAGCCTCCTAGCAGCGACCTCGACACTCCTAAACATGTCTCAAACTGGCTGGTTTTCCGAATCGCCCCGATGGGAAAGACTGGTCAGTCGACTGCCCCCCCAAATTCTTGAAGACTCATTGTCCGTGCATCTTTGGGCTAATTAGTCAATGAGGTACCCTGGAATCCATTCATGAATTATACTCATTCACCTCTTTCAGAATTTGTTCATCTCAGGCGAAACATCACCAAACATCACCACTGCATGTGCATGTCCGGCCCTCTCTCCCCCCCTCCCGTCGCCCCTCAACGGCGACCGGTGGCTCCGCGGAAAACTCCGCCGGTGGCGAAAGCGACACCACAGCCGGGTGGGGGTGCACGAGCCGTTTCGAAAAAGCACCGATGCACCACGCGCTGATGTTCTTGTTCTTCTTCTTGCTGTTGCTGTTGCTTGCTGCTGTTGGTGGTGCTGTTGCTGCTGGTGTTGGCGTTTTTGGCGGTGTTGTTGTTGTTGTTGCTGAACCATTTAGAACCCAGGAATCACGCTACAGTGGTTGCTGAATCCTTTGATGCCGAGGTCATCGATGCTTCGTTGTTTACGGTAAGCCGGGTTCACCAGGATCACAGCATCAGAGTTTCTCCCTGGTTTACGAGGAAGATTGCTCAGTCCGTCAGTCCTCGCCTGCGTTGTGACCGCTCCTTCGCCCAAACAGGGAGACCGAATCAAACCGGTGTTACCCCTGGCAGGTGAAAGGGACACGGACACTTCGCTGTGGCTTCTATCTTGCACTTCGTTGTACCATGTTGCACCTACCCTGTACAGGTCTGGGATGCTTTGGGATTGCAGTCCGGTAGCCTCTTTGAACAAGTTCTCAACTATCAGGAATGCTGGGAAGTTAGCCGAACCTCCCAAGCTCCGTCTCCAAGCAGCGAAGCGCTTCCGGCGCTCGTTGAACGTTGTCTTGGAACAACCTATCTCCAGGGATCCAAGTACCTTCTCAGAAGGTACTTGGACCCTCCAAACCTACATAACAGTGTCTCCAATCACCTTCTGAGAAGGTACTTGGATCCCTAGGGTATATATTGCATGAGTGCCCAACACTGAAAGGGTGTGTTCATTGGACTCGCCTGCAAGTCGAGTCACGGGGCCCACGGGGCCCAAGTGCCTTGCCTTCCAGGAGAAAGGTGACAAAGCCGACAGCGCCCTTGCTGGTGCCTCGTGACGAGATGTGAACGGTGCCGTGGTGGCAAAGGGTGGCAAAGGGTGGCGGGTGGCGAGGTTCGAGATACTTAGACAGGGAATGAAAAAGGCTTGCAGGCGCGCCCAGAGGCGGTTTACTTGCCATTTCGTTTCAAAGAGTTGAAGGATGTTTAAGGTGGCAATATGTCAATGCCATTCAATGTCAATGAAACAGGCGGACACATTGTTCAGCGTCTTTGTCAACAAACAAAGCTGCAAAGCGGAGTATTGTTGAGAACTGAAAACGCAGATTGACAAATTTTTACCTGGCTCATCCAATGGGTGTCCAGTAGACTACCCTGCACTGCTTGGGGATCTCCATGGGACACCCAAACAGGATGGTCCAGGCGGTCCAGGTATATATTAATAATTCATATTAATGAATGTATCCTTCCATGCAGGTGTGACTCACTTGTCCCAGCTGAGACCATCGGCTCCTCGAAGAAACACCGTTGCGGTCCTCTTCCCACCTCTGAGGCCACGGTGGCCTCAGACCGCATCGTCGGAGACGAAGCCCGGCTTCGGAGACGGAGAAACGGACGGGGACGGGCGGTCGTTCGCATGGCGCCAGACGAGTCGACATGCATTTCGTTTCGCTTCATGGGCCCCCCCCCCCGGTCGGTTCGTTCAGGGCACCCCGGGTGGTCCGGTGGTCCTTCCGTCCTTCGCCCGCAGGCACGGTCAGAGGGTTGGATGGTTCATGGGATCGATATTGCCGGGTGGCGCGAACACGTGAGACGCCACAGTGAGGAAGGTAAGACCCTGCTGAGCCCTGCAGTGGATGATGTCCTACCAAACATGGTGTGTCAGCTGGTGTTGGATGCCTTTCTAGTCCTGGAACCCAACTGGATCCAGACCTGGAAGGTCACCTGGAATGGCCCACGAACATGTTCTTCGTTGGACACCAAAAGTTTGCGAAGCAGGTTGCATTGACTTTTGGTCACCAATGTGATGCTTTTGGTAACATTTGATGTTGCCTGATTAGATCCAAATTTATACATGGAAACAACTTAAATATTCAATACACACACACACACCATACACACATGGGGTTTATTAAAGAGGCATCTGCGAAGATGCATTCCACTTTCAAAATCCACTATCCACTCCCACTCACAAACATGGACATGGATGGCACCCCCCTGTTCACAAAGCAAAAATAGAACAACTTGTTCTTTTTGGGGCTATGCCTATGCCATCCACTTCCAGGTTAAGTGGGTCAGAGTGTCGCATGTGTTGCTTTGGTCGTCTTGGCACCTCATTCGGCGCCGAACAAAAGAAAAAAGACAAACCGCCCCCGTCACAGTCCGGAGTGTCCACTTGGTCGACTAGCAGGAATCGTTGCGACAGTGTGGATGGATGGGACAAGAAAAGTCTATCGATTATATTATAGTATTTGCAATATATATATATATATTATATTTTATACAATTTTATATAGTAATATGCAAGATGTCTGCCTTTTGGCTGCTTTGATAGATTAAAGCTTCAACAAAGCAAGCATGTTGCATTATTTTGCACAGATTGGAAGATCTAGGAGTATGAGCAGATCTCGAACTCTAGAAGGAAGTATGTTTTGAGGTTCTGACCGCGGATCAAATGAACAGACAGATTTCTCTTTTTGTTGAGATGTGAGGATTTGGGGCTCCAGGTTTGGACCCACAGCCACGTGTTGAGTGTTCCAAGCAGATGTTCAAGCCTAATCTGAGCTGACATGAAGAGCTTGTGAGACTCTCCACATGAATACCCTCCAACAAACCAACACTCGGCCCCCCCACCTGGTAGTCAATTGTTTCGATCGCCTGATGACAAGGACTCATTCGCATTTGTTTCGGGGAGGGTCGTTTTACTCACGTCTTTCGATCGTGTTGTTCACTCACGTCCTTCACTCGGGACGATTCCTCCCGTTGACCGTTGACCGCTGTTGCGCCGCTGGTCTTGGACACAAGTTGTGCATAGCTTGGCGGGGCCTTGCCTCGCAGTAATGTTTGACCGAAGCTGGGGTGAACAAACACAGTGGCCGCTGTCTTCCCCTTTCTTGGAAGCTGTTTGTGTCATGGTGGCTAATCGATACATCATACATACACTCAAGACGCTGGAATAGACAGGAGTAGATGTTTCATTATGGCCACTGGTTGGTTTCCCTGGACCTCAGTCCCACCATGGCTTCCCCGTTTTCAAGCGAGCCGACTGAAGCACAGTGGCACGTTTCGGGCAGGGTAGGCATGTCGCTGTCACGCTTATCCCAGGAGCTGAGGATGAGTTTGTGTCATCAAGGAGAACATACTATTCTTTGCAATAGCTGTTTGCCCCAAAGTGAGCTTGCATGAGGAATGATGGATCCATTGATAGGACAAATTGTGGAACGTGCAGCTCGAGGAGAGGTATGCCTGGGACAAGCCGTATCTGATACAGCAAAGAAGTTGTTTGCAAGATCCGTTTTTTTGATCCTGTCCTCAAGGCAGTCAGACTCTAAAGGCAGTCAGAGAATCCTCCAGTCCTCACAGTTTGTGAGCAAAAGACACAGCCATGCCTGGCATGCTTCTCGTTTTGGCACGTTGTGAGCAAGGATATGTTTGTTCCTGTGACCCTGGGTTCACGCACCTCCACACAGTCTCCCACCCATCAAGTCCAGCCAATGCAACAATGCAATTTCAAAGCTGCGAATCATACCCTCGAATCATACCCCCGAATCATACCACCTATTCAAACTTCCCGGCCCGACTACGGTAAAAAGAATACATAGCCAGTTCTAAGTTGGCTGAGTGTGAAGGTTCCTTGGAGAGAGTTCTGAGGTTGTACGTTTGCTGGAGCATTTCCAAGCGCTTGCTTGGATGTACTGCACATAAATAGATTAGATCTGATTTCCTCACCCGCTGCAATTGCCCAGCGGCTGATTTAATATTTGAGCGCCTAGGCTGGACACGATAGTACAGAATGGATCTTGCAGATGGTTCCTCCTTTTGCAGCAGCGTGCTCAGCTGGTCACGTCTATTTCGACAGCTTCTCGTACAGGAAGAGATGTTCCTCATCGGGTTGATGGGGTTTGGGACAAGATCGTTGAAACATGTTTGTGCCTACAACACATGTTAGGGAAATGCAGGATATCAAGACTTGAATCAAACCATTTTCGATGTGCTGAACTTGCCCAAAGGGTCGCAGGTTCTTTGTTTGCTTCCTGAAGTTCCCATTTCTTTTGCTAGATAGGCGGTGCAGGATGGATTGTGCAAGATGGATTTGGTGCTGCAGTTTGATCAATTGGACCCCCAAATCAAGTCCCTGTTGTGACGAAGGCTAGGCTGCAGGCGAGAATCCTGTTTACTTTCATGTTCGATGTGGCAGGGGTCACAAGTCGTGGTCGTTTGTTGGGTGGATTATTGTGAACTCCTCCAAAATTCATACTTCTTTCCTTAGACACGCCATCCTCTGACGGTAGGATTGCCCTTTCTTGAGATGAGCCAGGAGAATCTCATGGGCACGCTGCGATGACAGTTGAATCTTTTAACAGGGACAGCCGGGGCTTTGGAGTGTGGAAGATGTTGAGAGACGAGATTGATTTATTTTGGTGCTTGAGATCTCAAAACACTCAAAAACATCACTCGAAGACACATCTTCACGCGCCTGAACGTGCCACACTGCCGTGCCCACCGGAACGTGCCCACCGGACCTACGGCGCTCTGAAGCGAACGCCGTTCAGCAGCGAAACGGAGCTTTGAAGTCTCCACGGAGAAACGTCCTCCGGCGACGAGGCGGAGAAAGTCACAAGTAAATGGATGAACTATGGCATGGCATATAGTTATGGTATAGTTTTTTATTACTTTAATATTACAGGGCGCGAGCTGGTACCAATTCCGAAGGTGTTTTTGGGAGCCGGGGGTCTCCATAGATTCTTCCTGAGTTCCGACGGGAGTTTCCCCAACCCTGGAGCGAGGAAAACGGGAGTTCCCCAAACCCCGACAGCTCGTGGTGGATTTTTGGGGAGTTTCTTACTTCAATGGTTGGGTGGAGGACACCTCTTCGACATGGACGATTTGAATTAAACCCGGAGCGGGGGGGGAAGGGGGAGGATCCTCAAAGGCAGGAGTCGACAAACTGTTCAGCGAACAACGACCCTCGTCGTCGGCACGTTGATCTCGTCGACGATCGCGTGGTGGTTTGCACCGTCTGCGACCGAGCTGTTAGCGGAGTAGTTTGGAAAAGGGGATGGGCGGGAGGTGCCGTTTGAAGTCGGTGTATGTGATTCTTGCCGCCGAGGGTCCTTGGACAGAGGCATGGACAGAGAATTGGAAGACTCGGGGTTTTCAGTTTTCAGTTTAACGCTGAAAGGGAGTGTTTCAGGTCCTGTCGCTTGCGGGACTGTCTCCATGAAACGGATCCCATGGGTTTTCTGGTGAAACGCCGCTGGTGCAGCGACTGATCAAATACTGCAATATCAATAGATCAGAGTCAAAGCATGGCCTTTTGCCGATCAAAGTGCGCCTTTAAACCAAAAAGACACGGCATCTTTTGGTTGCGACCCTGGCGGAAACCAAAAAGACACGGCATGTTTAGGCCTGCAAACGGTTTCTTTAGGTGTCCAAACGGCGTCTTTCCCCGTTTGAGCGCATACTTGCAACCCCAAGAGCAGCATGTTTTTGGGATTACAGCATCTTTTCACTGGAACATGCATCCGGCAAAAATTGTGCCGTTTGAAGGATAAAAGCGTGCATCTCTTCTGAACATGGCATGGAAACGTAATTAATATATATATATATAAATATACTTCACATCTTCAATTGTCTAGTGCTTCTGGGCACATCAAAGGTCTTTCTTGGAATGGCCACACAACCAGCCAACAGCAGTCCCTCAGTCCAAACAGCACAAACCCAAACAAACATGAACCCTACGACCAGAAACCGGCAGAACTAAACATAGTATTCTTGCAGATCTCGGCTGCCACTGACCTCCATCACTGGCAGACCGCCAAGGCCCACGGCTTCTAGTGGATCAGGCTGAACTAGGCGGGAGGAGTGGGAGAAGGGTCATGAACACGTCCCCTGGGATGGTTGGACCGTTGAGTTGCAACTGGAACACATGCAGGAGGCGCCGTGGCGCCGTGGGCATCTGCTGATTAGTCCCTTCCATCACACTTGTGGCCACCGCCACCTTTTGGAGTTTGCTTTTGAGTTGAAAGAAGTTCTAGATTCTAGATCAATGTGACTGTGAAATAATTTGTTTTGAGTACATGTAATTAATGTACACCACATTTACGCAAGGGAGTCAGTGGAACTTAGTCACAGTATCCGGATGCTAAACCCAGACACTCCATGGGGATGTAGTATAAACCAATTCCAGGCGCAGACTCGCGCCCGCCTCATTCCTCCCCTAAACCTTTTTCTTGGTTTGGTTGGTCAGATATGAAGACTTTAATATGTGACCCGACACCGACCTCACACGTTGCTTTGGCCATTGAGGCCGTTCCGTCGCGCGCCCTGCGGGCGATGGAACGCCTCTCGGTGACGGACGGTGACCGGGGAGGGGAGCTGGAACCTGACCAGGGGAGGTCCCCAACCCCCTTGCTAATTCAGAATTGGGGGGGGGGGAGGTAGAAAACCGATGGAAACTGCTTGGATTGGACGTGAGCGTTCTTTTTCTTGTGAAGCACAGTACACTTTCTGGTCTTGCGTGAGATATCTTCGGAAGTAAGGTTCTAGGTTTGCTTTGATTGAGGATTCATGGTTGATCACCTTTGGAACTCTCGTGGAAACCTCCGGCGGAGCAACGTGCCACACCGGCCAAACACCAAAGACATTGAAAGGTGTTTTCCACCTACTCAGCAAAAGTGGATAAAGCAGCAAAAACCAGCTGTTTGTGAAGTGGTTTCTCATGGTTTCTCCACATGACAGTGTCACAGGTGAAACAACGGTTTAAGAATGAACCCAGTTTATCCCAGGGATGAAA